AACCTCAGTAGAGAGATTTATGTTACCTTTAATAAAATAAATTGACATAGATTTCTTACCACCAAGGTATCAAATATGGTTAGTTTCTTTAGTTAAAAGATTTATGTTATCTCAAACAAAAATTATCATGTAAATGTATACATTTGATAAATAATTGATTAAGATGGTGTTAGGATTGACTTAAAAGTTTGTTAAACCTACTTTTAAAGTCTATTTTTGACTTTTGAAAGAGTTTGACAAATATAAAAAAAAAACTTAATCTAAGTAAAACAAATGACTTAAAATAAGTTAGGAATTGTTTGAAAAAGTCAAAAAATACTTAAAAATAAATTTAAAATGACTTAAAATAAGTCAAAATCTAAAAGTAGGTCTCCCTCTACTTTTTATTTTTTAACTTAAAAGTCATTTAAGTTTGACTTATAATTTTTGACTTAAAAGCTATTTTTAAGTCAATCCAAACATGCTCTAAATATTTTATATTTAAAACAATTTGCACAAAAATTTATTTGAATTGATTCATTGATTACATATATTATGGTATCATTAAGGTTTCTTGTTAAAAAAGTACTCATTTGTATTTGTGATCCTAAGGGTTAGGGAAAAGAACTATGGAGGTTTCGACGATATATGATTAGAAAACGAGAGAAGAAAATCGTTCATACACATATGGATAACACCAAGCACGATGCACCACATTTGCGCAAGAGGTCTTGGGGCCGCGCTCTAGCAGTGTGCCAGTAAGGTGCCTAAAACCAACTGGTTTGACACGGCGCCCCCAAACGTGCCTAAATATGTGTTTTTAGCCCACTTTTCGTAGTTCAGTCTGATTAAGCCCTTCTAATGTGTTTTAAAACTTTCTAATGATTCTAACTACTCTAAATGACTTCTAATCATATCGATATCATCCAAAAACACAAATTTACAACCTTGAGTCCATGACTTCAGACTCAAGGAAAGTAAGAGCCAAGTCTAGAGAATTCTTAGAGTTCTTTCAAGAAGTCTTTTACAAATACTTTAAACTTGTCTTAAGATTTAAAGATAAGGTTGAGTAAGGAGTAAATATAAGAATAAGAAGAAGTTAATTTTAGATTTTCATAAGTCTCTCACAAATGCTTTAACTTCGTTTAAGACTTAAGTTGAATTCAGTCCAGAGTAAAGTGAAGCCTTTTCTTAAAAAACAGTTTATGAGGACTAAGTAATTCCAAAGTTGTATTAAAATGCTTTCACATTTGAAGGAATGGAAATTGAGATTTCCAAGGAGCCTTAGGGCTATTTTTCAGAAAAAAACTTAGCTTTCTAAATGAAGAAAGGAGGAAAACTAAGATTTCCAAGATAGCCTTTGAGCTGAATATATTTTAAGCACTAATCTCAAACCACACAATCAGTATATTTTAAAAACATAAGAGCCTTATATTTTGTGAGTAGTATTGAGCACCGATATGAGGGAGTTCAGACAATTCAAATCCCCCATAAACCATGTAATCATCATGGGTAGGAAGCGGTCATACTTTTTATATAAACCCTTTTCACAGTAGACTAGTTGATCCATTAGGCAGTTCAGGTCTTATACCTTTGGCCGGGTATAGGATGTGCTGGCTGCATGAGGTAGATCGTTGTATCATAACTTTTTCTCTTAAGTGATGGTTTTCGGTTAGGGAAACTCTCACATAAATATTTTATTTTATATACATCAGTTTACTTATATTTTTACATACATCTTAGAATTATTGTATCATTGTATACATTCAGAACACACAACATGTTTCTAAACAATTTTCTTTATATTGCATATGCTTTTAAATTGCTTTATATTGACATAAGTCAGTCATAATTGATCTATGTTATCCATGAGTCGAGCGGAGTCAAGGTAAGTGTTTCTTCAGACTCTTCTTCTAGCCTATGTTATTTAGCATTCCAATTCTTATACTCATACATTCAATGTACTGATTTCAATTTTCTTGCATTGTATCATGATGCAGTCATAGGTTACAAGGATCAACATCATCTAGCGCCTCGTTGATCCATTTGAGCACTCAGAGTCAGTGGTGAGCCTCCTTGCATTATGGAGGACACATTTACTTCATTTTAGTACTTTATTTATTAGGATGTTGTACGGTATGTACCAACATCCATCTCAGTTTTAGAGGCTTCATAGATAGATAGTCTAATGTTATCCTTTGAGTCTTTTCATTATTATCCCTTTTGTTAAGACTTGGGTTGTCAACTTTTGGCTAAGTTGGAATGTTTCAGCTTTATAAATATTCACAGTTATGGTATTCTTTTAAGTTAAGTTATGATTATTGTTTTCCGCTGAGTTAAGTAGCCAGGAAAAGGGTTCGCTCAAGGTCAGAAATGATCATCGAGTGCCGGCCACATCCAAACTTTAGGCTTAGGGCGTGATAGTTACTATGAATTCGCACCCCCATATCGGTTCTAAATACTACTCTAAAAAATATACTTAGCTCATGTCTTTTAAAATACTTCTTTATTTAGGTGAGATAATTGCTTAACACTTAGCTTTAAAAGCTCTCTAGGAATGATGTTCCCTTTTCTTGCTCAAAACTCTTTTGAAAATCTTAGTTTCATCTTATCTTAAATGTGAAAACATTTATAAATTCCTTGGTAATGCTTAGTTCCCTATAGAATTTTAAGAAATGAACTCAACTCTTAGGGAATACTTAGTTCCTTTATGTTTCTTTGATAGAAGAACTTCAACTCTTTACTTAAATTGAAACTTGAGCCTTAAAATGAAGTTAAAATGTTTAATAAAGACTCTTCAAAACCTTTAAGAACTATTCTTTGGATTAGCTTCTTAACTTTTGAATTGACGCTTAACTTCTTTGTCTTTGATTTTAACTCTCTTTGAATTGGATTATGGATTTAAGGTTATGATTCACGTTCCTAGGTTATTTCTAAGTGCTTAGAAATCATTTAAAGTAAATAGAATCACTGGAAGGTGTTAATATACCTTAGAAAGACTTAAAAGGGCTAAACTATGAAAACTGGACGAAAAAACCAATTTGGGCGCATTCAAGGCGTGATGCGCCAGACCAATTAGTTTGAGGAACCTTTCTGGCGCACTACAAGCGCGCCGCCCTAAATTTCTGATGCAAATGGGGAGTGCCACGCCTGGTGTAACTCAGATGCGCCTGAACTTCTTTCTTCTCTCGTTTTCTGATCCTAAATCTCCTAAACCTCCATAGTTCTATTTATAAACCCTTAGGATCATCAATACCTTCAATACCTAATTTATCTAACTCGAAATAAAACTTGGAAATTAAGAACCAATGTCAATGGACATTCATACAACTCAACAAATAGGGATTCGATAAGATTCATAAAAAATTTACTTCTAATCATGTAAACAACTCCAAAACCCCTGATTGAAAAACGTTTTGTGTGTGGATAAATTAACCCAAAAACGAAAAATCTCATATACCTTGATAGGGATCACCCCGACGAATTCCACTCGCTATTCTTTGGTGTTCTTGGTAAATCCTTATTTTTTCTCCCCTTCTTTTTTCTCTTCTCTTTTTTCCGAGCCCTAAGCATAAAGTTAGACTTCCTAATCCCTCTAAAACTAGTTTTTACCCCAAATAAATCCCTAAATTGAAATAGGAAATTAATTGGTGAAAAGACTAGTTTTTCCTTCCTTAAATCCAGATTTGGACCTTTCTCAATCCAACAACCCAACTTCCAATAGACATATCTCCCTTATACAATATCTAAAATGCGCAAACTCGGCAGATTTGAAAAGATCTCTCCAAGTGTTTTCCAACCATATCAAGAACTATCTCTAACTCATCCTGAGTTAAGAGTTATGACCGTTTGAAAATGACCAAAATTCACTTGTTAAACATAGAAAAATTTTCAAATTTTTTTTCTTTCTTTTCAAAAGTGATTATTTTTAGTTTCTTAGCTTATTCTTAGACATTTTGAGTTACGAGATGTTACCTAAAAATAAGAAAGTTAAGGGATTAACCATGACCATTGATATTTTTATTTGAACTTACAGAGAGCTTCCTAAAGAAAATAAATAAATTTTGGTGAAGGTGGTAGGAGGAGTGAGTAATGGAAGAACACATGTTTCAAAGTACCTACATGTGGACTGGTTAATGCCTATGTAAAGTACAATTATTAAAGTTACTTGTACATGCAAACCTACAACTAAGCTTAAATAAATAGTACAATTTTACATAACATGATATATAATTATGAACTGCAGTGTTAGTCTTTTTCTTGTTGATGTAAAATTATGAAATGCAATGCTAGTATTTTTCTTGTTGGCGTATATATAAGGGTAATATATCTCTTTAAGCGTTTCTAGATTAAAGACCTTGGCAGATTGAAGTATTTTATAGGTATTGAGATTGCTCAGTCTGTTGACACCCAATTTTGATCTTCCCCGATAATAATTAATTTTCGAGTTTCTTCGATTTCAAACGATCTAAATAATTGGTTTGACGAAATATTTAAAAAATATATAAAAAATTTGAGAATTATGCTAAATAATTCCCATCATTTTTAATATTTTGGAGTAATATATTTGTATTGTGTAAACATTTCAAAGATAATCTCAAAAGATTTTATTTTTTAGTAAGCTTTTATTAAATTAATTTATTTTAAATCATAGTTATATTTTCGGATCACTAGCTCGCATTTAAACTAATCATTTTATGTCGTTAGGAATAAGAGCTCTTTAATTAATTTATGTGAATTTGTATCGTTTAAGTTATGGCCAATAAGAAGTTAAATTAAATTTGGTTATGACTTAAAAATTATTTGGGGGCTTCTTCCTTCTGCAGTAGCAATGCATACAGAAACTATAGGCCACTCCAATTTTCCATTATTTCTCAGCCCAATTCTTTTCCTAATGCTACCCCAGCCCAATTTCTTGGCTCACTCCACAATTTTGACCCGACCCGGCCCTAGCTTCACTTTCCTTTAGAAAAAGAGACCCATAACGTGACAGCAACAACAAATTAACAATTTCAAACGGCGAAGACACGACGTCTACACGGCGTGAGGATGACATCAACAGTAGCCTCTTCCAACGTTCACGAATATACGATGAATACACGATAAAGTTCACCTCTGCGCTATAGTGCATCGTTTTTGGCTTTTTCTTCTCCCGTACGACAAAGCCACCTGCCATTTTCGTCCTCACAGCATGAGATCATGTCACATCGAGAGTCCATGTTGAGGAGTCGATCAAGAGCGTCCATCTCCCCTTTCCTCTTCAAGAATAGTTTGAAATATTCAGAAAAGGGTGTCTGCCTTTTTTGGTGAAAAGCTTTTGAATTTCTAGCTTGGGATGGGGCCTGGGTTCTTCTTCCGATTTTACCCTTTTCCGTCCCAAATTCATAATCCTGGCAGCCCCTTTATATGTATTTTTTGCTTCTCGTTCTGGGAGGAGGTTTTTTTTTGGCAAGAGATTTTTGAGGAGGAAATTTTGAACTAATAGAAAAACTAGACTGAAAGAAGAATTGAGGATAATAGTAAGAAAGTATTAGCTAAAAAATCAGGAAGACGTTCAAGGCTGAGCTCGTTCTAGTTTCAGTCGAGACCTCATATTATCACTCTGTTCCCGTCTCTTTAGTCTAGCCTCACTTGAGGCTTGGGTCGTCATCTTCGCTCGTCTTCGTGTCCCACTTTCGCTGCTCAAGGAAAGGTAATGCTCTCTCCGTTAACTGTTCTCTTTGTCATTCTTTTCTGATTTGTCTGTTGGTTGTTTGCTGATTTGATATCGATTGTTCAAAATTTGCTTCGTTGATATCTCTTCATTGAGTTTGTTTCTCGAATGTGATCAAACTTGTTTCGTTATGTAATACTCAATGTGCATCTCAAGTCGAGCGAATGAGTTAAGATGTCTATATTCTGAATTGGTATGTTGATTTAACTGTTGTTCAGATTTCTTGTTACTATTCTGTATACTTGGTCATTACATCAAGTTATTCTGGAAGCGTAGACTTTATTTCCATTCCCCAAAATGATATGCATATTCCCTCTTTCTAACTCTTTTGCTAAAAGCAATTAGTACTGCTTTTGTTGTTCCCTTTTATATGCAAAGGCTATACGAACCTTCATTGTCAATAGTTCTTCTTTTTCATCTTTTTTTACTGTTTATTCTTCTTTTTTATGTAAATGCCATCGGTAGTTCTTTGTTTATGTGTGTTAATTAGGAAATTTGAAGCGGCCTGTCTATTAATTTAAAGGGGTAGAAATCAATTTGGTAGTCATGCATCGCATGGTTGTTCAATGTTAGCTTAAATACGTTAAAAAATATATGTATTTTTTGCATAATTCGAATATGCTAGATGTTAGATGTCATTTTATTATTCCTCTGTGAACTGATTCTGTGAATTTGGATTTATGATTTGCCTAATTTTGAAAATGCCTATTTGGTTAAAATAATAGTGCAGCAACGTCTTCAAATAGTTGGGTTTTTATCACCTTATTTCAAATACCTCTGGGTGTTAAAGTGTTGGGAAGATGACGAGTTGCTTTGGTTCTATGTTTTTGTCTTGTCTCGATACATTTTGTCTGAGGTTTTTGTTCATGAATTTCTTTTGCTGATCAGCTGTTTGGGTCATCTCCATAATCCCAAGTGTCGAATTTTATTTTTCTTTCCCTTCAAATATATGATATTCAGCTTTACTAAAACTGCAAATATCCGTCGGATCGATGTCAACTGCGCTCTTCTCGTCTTTAAAATTGTAATTCATTTGGAGTTGATGTTGGATATGTGTAATGTCTGCAAGTTAGTTCATTTGATGAATCATTATGAAGTTTTTTTTTGAAATAACTATTCGTGGCGTTTCGTGGTACTTGAAGAGCATGCTTTAAGTTTTGATCCTTCGGGATTCCATTAAATGATAGTAACAGAATATACTTGTGTGTTTTGATGCTCATTTTCATTCAATTGGGTTTGAAATTTTAGGTGAGAGTCAAGGGTCTTTGGTTAATAAAAAATTTCATCGGTGGAATCTTGCTTCTGTTCTCTATTAACTGCTATCTATGGGGATTTTAAGTTGTATTAACTTTAATTTATTTGACCTCCTCTTTTACAAAATAGTCGATCTTCTACTCACTTTTTGTTTATTGTTATTGCATGTGGAATTCGTCCAAATTCATTACGAACACATTCCATTCCTTTATTTCAAGAAAGCTGCAAAGGCTTAAATTTTTTCCATTTTGAGTCAATCATCCCTTAAACTAATGAACATACCATGGAGCGAAATTTGAAGCAAACCAAGGAGTGGAAGAAGTTGGGTCAAGAAGCCCACATTATTTTATTCTTTACTTTGTATTTTGTAATTTTGGGTTCTAAGCCCTTGTTGTATTTCTTTTCTGCATTTTTTTTTGTAATAGGCTAAGGACAGGTGGAATGGGTCAAAGGCCCAAAAGTCAAATGGGTCAAAAACCCAAAACAGGTGGGTCCAAATTTCTGGTCCAGACAAACAGAAACTGGTTTGGACCCAATCTCTCTCTCTCCCCTTATTTGATTAATTACTTGTTATATTTGTCGTTAGTTGTAAGGCTAAGGAATTCATATCCCCGCAAATATAGTAAATATTTTATCAACTTAAAACTAATTCAAACCGATTCTAAACGAGTGAATAAACCCGTAAACCAATTTTAAAATTATTTACTTTGTTTCAAACAACTCTAAACAATATATTATTTCAAAATAAATTAGTTTTTTAGCCAAATGAGTGTGTTGTCGGATAACTGTAAGTTAGCGGATGTCTTGGGTGCTTTCAAAATCTTCCTAAGACGTAAATATGAATCTTCGAACCTTTTTAAGTATTTTACATTGATTTTTCTGTTAAGTCTTTTGAAAACATAGTTTTCTTGATTCTTTTTCAAAAATTAAGTGGCGACTCTATAAAAGTCAAAAACTTATAAAATATAATATTTTCCTTTTCCAAAATAAAACAAAAATAGTGACTCCGCTTGGGAAGTTGGAGGGTTCTAACCTTGAAACTAACGTTATTTGACTATTTGTGATAAATTGTTTACTTGTTTAGTTTACCTTAGTTTTGAAACTGTTGCATTTCCATGACATTCTTCCACCAAACGGCAAATAGTATGCATTAGGAAAATGAAAGTTACGTGGCTTTCCACATTTTTTTTTTCAGAAATACACAAAAATTCATTTGGAAGTATTAAACAAATAGTTGGAATGCAGTCATCAGACGTTGTTTGGTAGCTTCACCCCGATGTTTGTCAAATTTGAGTAACCGTCAACTTGAAACCTACTCTAATAAGCCTAAGCTAGAGCGAAATCAAAACAAAATTTAAGCATTAGCCTAAGAGGGCTTAATACACAAGGTGTATTAAGTCCATTTAGTAGAAAACTTCCAAAATCGTGTCTTAAGTCTTTGACCTCACGACACATCATTTTATGTGACATTTGAATGATGTAATTGTTCAAACCAAATTGGGGAGGGTAAACCTAACTAGCTTCTATTTTATAGAGATCATTTTCCAAAGTTCGACATGATCATAGAAGCATCACCCAACCTCAAAATATGGCATGTCAATCTCTACGGGATCATAGAAGAATCCTTAACAAATATGTGGGTGCTCTGACAGAATTGATCAACATGAACGGTTGGCAAAAATTTGTTGAGGTCCTCACAGGCTACTGGGATAGATAATGAATGGTGTTATGATTCGGAACCGCCGAAATTACCCTGACTTTAGGGGAATAGAGACTACGTAGACACAATAGGCATTGGGATAGAAGGGAAAGCAAGAAAGCAACAAGACATCTTTATCCCTAATAAGCCTTCTGTAGAAGATATTGCAGACAGGTTCGGGTTGGGAAAAGACTTTGCCTTCTGGTTCCAAGAATCCCATGTATAATTCAAAGATCTTTACGTCCGATTTGGACACGCAAGTTTCTACGCTACTTATAATCGAGAGTTCAAGAGCTCCTATAAAGAATGGAATGAAATTTGTTCATTAGCATTTGCTGTAGCATTATTGGGAACAATGGTATTCCCACATGGTTCAAGTCTGAGTATAAATACCTGAGTTATAACACTCGCGCACACTTTTTTCAAAGGGTATGAGAACCACGTGACAATAAAGTACTACTCTATATCTACTGTCATCTTGTTCTATATGTATCGAGCCGTGGGAAAATGCAAAGAGGGACATCGATACTTCCAAGAATGCAACCTACTCCTTCAGTGGTGGATTCTCAGCCACTTGGCAAAAGGTTCTGGCACGTAGAAGCTACATACTCTCGATAACAAGAGCACCCTTAAAGATTTGAATGACATGTTGTACTAGGCAAATATGGACAATTGGAGAACAAAGGGGAGATGGGCTCAGATTTTCTCCGAATTGAGAGAAGAGGATCTCTAATGGATGCTTGACGGTTTCATCTCCAAAGAAGTCGTCGTGGAGATCCGTATACAGATTGTGCTTCCTCTAAAAGATATTAGGTGAATCGCCCTTATGTAACCTTTTAAGTCTTGCGACAATTCAAGAGGAGACAAACTGCACCCAAAGAGGCATACTATGATGCTTATGTATACGATATTTGAGATGATAGAGTGAAAGACGTGTCTAAAATGTTCATAGAATGGAAAAGTGCAAAGCCAATAGATAAAACCACCACTGCCCCAGACCAATTTAATGCAGTATATGATGAGGGTTACAAAAAATGGTTGAAAAAAGACATACAAAGTATCGCTTCTCCAACCTCGCATAGCTGTCGCAGCGTGACAGACAAAGAAGCCAAGGCAGTGGACGAGCTACAAGAGGTAAATAAAGAGGACCAAGAAGTGTACGCTAAGTTTGTCAAGAACCAAGATACTCTTGAGAAGACGACTCAAGAGGTGGAAAGACTGAGGCGTTGTTATGACAATTTTGATACCTAGGTCAAGGAGAAAATTGAGAGGATGTGATACGAAAGCTTGGAAGACAACGAACGCCTAAGTAAGGGATTCTTGTTGATGCTAAGATATATGTTTCAGCAATACAAGACTCAGGGGGACGGCGATGGATCAGGACCATCAAGCACAACATAGTGAATTTCGCCCCTGTGTGGATTTTTTATATGTATTTATGTTGGTTTTTAGCCCCTGTGTGGGCCTGCCTTTATGGTACTTTCAAATGGCCCCTGCGTGGGTTTGTTTTAATGTTTATCCTTTATTCTTCCGTTTGTGAACATTATTATTCATTTGTGAAATTCATTTGAGGGGGAATTGTTTATATGGTTCAAATTCACGCATATTTCATTCAAATGCGCAAGGCCTACCCTTAGCACAAAAGGGTTCTCCTATATATTTTAGGACGCGATATGTGTGTTTAACTGTTTATGTTCTATGTTTCTATGAATGAGGATATTGGAAACCAACTCTTTTATAGAAATTTCAAAAAGTCACTATCACAAATGTCCGACCAAAATTTTCTGAGTCTTAAGTCTCTCACTTAAAGGACAAACCTCATCTCCAAATCCTAAATACTATTCTAGTGTCTCAGGAAAGGCAAAATCATCGCTATGGATGAAAAAGGATATTCAAGCAAAACAAAGTGAAGAAGAGAGGATCGATAGGTAGAAGCAGCGCGAAAAGCGTTCATATGAATTATTATTTCCTCTTGAGAGACCCGAAGAGGAAATCAATAAAGAAAGTTTTGAGGAGTTACTTGCCCGCCCACCTTTTCTCAAGGGACGTTTGGTAAACGGAGACAATAAAATTTTTCTCGAGGCATATCTGCACAAAGGCCGAAAAAAGATAAAGGTCATCTCGTGCGCTTTTGTTTTTTAACACTATCGATCTAGGGTCCTGCTAAGACCCGTTAAGAGAGCGCCCCCCTCCAAGTGTAAGTAGGAGATCTCTGGAAGACAAGTGAATGTCATCCTAGGGAGAAAGGACATAAAGTAGAGGAGTGTATTGGGTTTAAAAATGCAGTCCGTTATTTATTCAGTATGGATAGTACTCCTAACACTTGGGGTGACGGCATCATCATTGCATGTGATGAACCACGTCTTGATATACCGGTCACAGAGGGAACCAGATTGTTTCATTGCTCCTTCACATATTTCCAGAAAACACTGATAGAAATCTACACGAATTTGGTTTAGAATGGAGTATTTACCCATTACTACAAGAATGTGGACATGCAATATTCTCTTCAGCACGAAATTCAAAAGTGTTGTCCCTATCATCATCACGCCATATACCACAACATTTAAAAGTGTCTTGAGTTCCGCCACGACCTCAAATCCCTCATCAACATGTGGAAGATTCAAGTCAAGTTTATTCCTCGTGACTGATGTTGCAAAGAGAAGAAGAATGACTAAGATTTAGTCATTATTATTATATTTTAATCTTTGTTGTCTTTCAATTGCTTGTAATCGTAATGATTCTTTTGTACTCGAACTACGTTGGGCCTGGATTCTCCTTGTGAGATACGTAGGAAGTCTTCCCAGGCCCGGCCCCTATATTTAAAAATTTTCGTTCTCCCCCTTCATGTTACGAGAAGATACGAAGGCCAGATCAACGGACGTCAAAGAGCAGTTGCAAGAAGACCTTAACTCAACGTGATTTAGCTTTCTAAGACAGTGTCAAAACTAAAACAAGCAAACTTTTGCTTGTTAAAAAATGTGTTTCTGTCCTTACTCGTGAGTTAAAGATATCCTCAAACAAAGCAACTTGTGTGTTTATCTACTCTTTATGTGATATTATGCATTTTTTGTATTCTGAATCTGCACTGACAAATCTGCATTAGTTCTTTTCTTTCTCAGGTACTTTGAAACTAATCTGTGTCGATCAAAAGCTGGCAGATCATCCCTATTTCACAAGATCAAAAGGTCCCGCAAATTTCTTCCCTAGACAAAGCTCAGACAATAGAAAGACCGTTATGAGGGATAATAATGAAGAAGTAAGTCTTACTGATGTTGTGGTGGCTCAACCTACCATATCGGACCAAAATGAGTTGACTCTGCAGCTGATGCAACAGATTGAAGAGATGAGGATAGAGATGCAAAGGATACGGGACCTACCTCCGCCAGCATTTGCTGCTAACGTTGCTGATGGGAGACCTCTAATCTACTTCCCTTCTTCAAATATGGATCCAGCCCAGAACTAGCCATCTACACCTGCTTTGTCGGTTATAGATCTTACCACCCAAAATCCCCAATAGGCTTCCGCATCCTACCAAACTCCACCTCCACCTCAAAACAACCACCCCCAAATGACACCCTATCCTCAAAATACCCACCATCAAACCGCTCCACCACCGCAAAATCAAAACCAAAATAGTTTCAATCCCCAAACACCCCATCACTACTTAAATCAGAATACAAATCCTTTTATTTACCCACAGAATTATCAAACTGCTCAAAATGCCAAAAGTCCCTTTGTAGCTTCACCCTTACCTAAAACCACCACTTTTGAAATTCTCGTCCCTGCCAAACATGATGTGCACGGTTCTGAGCTGGACCATTATGAGGAGCAGGAAAGGTAGTTAAAGGAAAAAGTGGAGGAAAAGGTGGACATAAAAAAGAGATCAAGAAAGCCATGAAAGAGCTCCAATGCGTCCCTGATATCGCCGAGATTAGTAATGAAGACTT